ATATATATATATATATATATATATATATATATATATATATATTTGTGTTATTTTTATAATAATAGTCAAGTAAAGTATTCATTTTTAAAAGATGTTGAGATCTAAACACAAAAAAACCTCTCACTTTGTTGAGTCAACTATAAGTAGAAGAGGTAAGACTAATCTAAACACATCTTTAAACCTGCTATTAAATCCTGTACTGATGTCATGTTAATTCCATACCATGTATATGGAAGGTTCATGGTCGGCAATGCTCTGGAAACCCAGAGTTTTCAGGATAAGCATAAACAACACTATATGGGACTTTAAAACCTATTATAAGGATAACATAGCTACCTCTTGGGGAAAGAAAAAAGGTTTTCTGAATTTTAGATGTGGAATATTCCCCAAAGTCCCATGTGTCAAGGGCTTGATCCTTACCTTGGACCTATTGGAAGGTACTGAAGTAAATAAGAGGTTAATTTTATATAATTAAGACCATACCCTAAAAAGTTGATTGTGAGATGTTGGTCTCTTCCTCTTTGGTTGCTCCCTGCTGCTGTGAGATGAGCAGCTTATCCCACTACATCTCACCACAAGTCCAAAGAACAGCAGAGACAACCAAATATGGACTGAACCCTCTAAGACTGTAAGCCCAAAAACCCATTTCCTCTTATCAAGTAGATTTAATTTTATTTGTTACAGTAATATAAATATGACTCATATGAGGTCTTCGCCCTTTTCATGATCAGAGAAATGGGAGAGTGTCATTACACAAGTGTTTACCCACATTATATTGTACTGCTAGGCCCCACACTCTGCATAGGATGGAGGTACATTGCCTGATCTCACTAAGTCTTCCCAAACTCACCATCTAGGCACAGGCAGGTTGCTGTTAGTCTTAACTAAGGATTCAATGAAAGTTTCTTTTTTGCCGTTCCAATAAGGTAATTTATTTTCAGAAATAAAGACAGCAGGTACTTTATCACCCATTTTAGGTGATAAGAAGAAAAAAAGTAGAGGCCTTGAGAAGTGAGTGATTTCCCTAAGGTTACTCCAACTCCATGCTAGTAATTGGCAAAGCTACAACTTCCAGCTAGGCTAATACCAACCACATGGCAGTGTTCCAAAAAGAACTTGTATTCCTGTTGTTTCTGACTGTTCTAACTGAGAAAAATGTCTAGAATCTTGTCTATGAGCTCTGTTGTCATTCTCAAGATATTTGTAATTTCCTCCAAGGAGACTTCACTAGCTTTCCCACTGTGTTGTTACTGGAATGTTCTGGTAAACTCCTTTACTCAAACCCAGAGAAGTGGAACTAAAAGAGTAGTATACAAATCCTACAACACCTTCCTTTTTCTCCAAGGAAGAAACAGACATCTGTAAGTTGAGGTCAAGTCTATATGGCCTAGTCTCTCTTGGTGTATGCTGTCCTCATGGATATGGGGTGTCAGATCTAGCTCAGTAGCCTAAAAACAGATTTTCTGTAGATTTATAGGATTCTTAGTCAATCTTTATGGGTTTGGAGGAGATCTTCTTGCCTTTCCCTCAAGTAGTAGGTGCTGAGAGGGTAGGAAGTGCATGTCTGGGATAGCTACCTGAAGAGGAGGTATGGGAATGGAAGGCAGGTGCAAGATATGCGGATGGAACTTAACTCAGGGTGTGTGGAGTTGCTAGTGTGGGTCAAGTGCCCCTTCTTGGAGAGGGGTGGTACTTAGGGAGTGGGGATGGATATGGTTGCTGTCTGAATCTGGTGTCTGCCTAGAGAAGGGATCAGGTACCTAAATACAAACATATTTTTTATGAGTAGATGAGGATGAGTAGGGATGGTTGGAGTGAGTGGAGTGGAGGTGGGAGGGAGTCTAGGCTTCCTATAAAAGGATGAGGCAAGGAAGAGTCCACATGGGAGGTAAGGTTGTGGTGGAAATGGATACCAGGTGAGTTGGTGCTCCTTACATGAAGCAAGTGTACCAGAATGGTCACAAGAAGACAGACAAGACATGTGTTCCTTAGGTCAATGAAAAATGACTTTAAACTAAAATTACTACACAAGGCATACAGGCCCCAGAGGAAAGAGAACCACTTCATGTTTCATGTAGAATGCTTCACATACCAAAACTAGTCAAGGCGCTTCCTATCCTCACAGAAACATGCCCCAATTTTGACCCCAATTTCATCTCTTTTAGTGAAAGTCTCTTCTATATGGAGAAGGAAATTTGAAAGTCTCCCTGAAGCCTGCAAGAAATATGAGTATAATAAAAGGCAAGTACTCACATGGGCATAGATATTTGAGACTATATGTCTCTAGAGTAAGGTTTTTGTAGAGTTAGGAGAGGGGACTGAAAATCTTTGGCATTTAGCTTTGGAAGGACTGACTAGCTCTTGGCTTCCTTTATACTGTGAGACTCTTAGCCTAAGAGTCAGGGGCTCACCACTTTTTCTCCCTCAGAAGGATCCTAGTTGCTTCAACATCTTAGAGACTGAGACAGACCAAAGAGCAGACCTCAGCTGAGCTCTTTTTGTCCGCTGTCTACTGTGACCTTCTGGTGGAGCTACATTAGAAAGGACAATTGTTATTGCCGTGGGAAGTTGTTGGGTGTTATTATTTATCTGCATCTATTTCTTTTTCATGATTAATATCAAGCATGAAGGGGAAATTTACATCCATTGCATTCTGAACACTGTTCCTAAATCTGCAAATATTCAGTTATACTTGAGGTGTGAATTTCATGATATATGAATGATAATTTTATAAAATAAGAAATTTAAGTATATACGCTTCTATAAACTAAAAGGAATAGGAAAACAGTTTTTGCTTCTGCTTTAAAAACAATGAAATATGGTATGGAGAGTATGTAGCAACATTTACTAAGACTTGAAATTGGACTAAATTTAGAGCGTAAGTCTCCCAGACAAGATAAAAAACATTGTACATAACTTTATTTCTCCAAAATGCACATTTACTCACTTGTTTTCATTTGTGGGATCATACCGAGGAAATGGATCGTGATCATTATCATTAAAATCATAGCTAGCCTCTGGATCCTAAAGAGACAACAAAAATAACAACATAGTGGCATAAAAGGTAGCACTTTCAGAGTCTTTTCCATGCTGGCAGACAGCTCCAAAGAGCATACTTCAGAGCTTCTAGCCTGACTGAGCACTAGCCCACAAGACAGCAGCACTGATGAGCAAGATACCCAACACTCAGGGACTCACGTAATTGGCATATATGTCTGTGTGATTCCACTCCAAGCCATCATCCAGTACAGTAATAACAACTCCTTTGCCTGTGATGCCCTTTTGCCAAACTGGTATCACGTGAAGATCCAGCTTGGGAAGAGCTGCGGTCATCCTAGTGTCTTGCTAGTGAAGAAAAACAAATACACATTGGTGAAATTATGGTTTTTCTTGCTTAATCAGAAACTTAAGGCCATTTTTCTGTTTTCCTTGGGAAAGAAAAAGAAGCAATTGGGTAAAATGAAAATACAAAGTTGAGAGTACGAGCCTAATAACCCATCTATGCTACTCTTCTAGTTGTCCTAATTGAAACAAAACAAAATAAAACAAAAAACCTTAAGAGCTGAATTATCTTTGGTCTCTTCACACATACTCTCTGTTGTTTTTTTTCCCAGTTATATTAAGATGCTCAAGATTTTCTCATGTTGAGGCTTTATTTGGTGGTATTTGATTTTATCTTGACAAAGTCCTGAGCCTTCCTTGCTACTTCAAGTTCTCATCATGTATGGTTGTTGTAGAGATATTCTCCTAAGAAAAATAAGCACACAGGAGACTGTAGTCTCACTAGAAATTGCTATTTAATAACTTTTTTATTTATATATAATTTAGGCAATACTTTCTTCCTTTTTCTGGTAATTTTCCTGATATTTACAGTGTGTATGATTGTATGAGTTGGGAAATGAGGTAACACAGATATAAACACATTTCTTAGCATGTGAAAACTGCAGTAAATGAGTACCAAGGACCTGGTGATAGAGTCAGCAAGCAATGTGTAAGTAACCACAATAAAAATCCCATGAATAGGCTGTGCCCTTAAAAAAAAAAAAAAAAAAAAAAAAAAAAAAAAAAAAAAAAAGTACCATTGGGGAAGGTTCACCAGGCAATTGTGAAACTAAATAACAATAACCTTTTGATTGGCCAATGGTAGAGAAAGCCCCCATGTGAGTTTGCAAGTGTATAGTTGTTAAGAATATGGCCTCTTAAGACTTCCAGTAGAGGGACTGGGGCACCAACCAAGTCACATAACTTTTGGTCTACAATTTGTCCTGCCTACAAGATGTGCTGGGGTAAACGTGGAAAAGAAATTGTGGGAATGGCCAACTAATGACCAGTCCAGTCTGAGACCCATACTGTCAGAGTGAGTATGGGTCTGGAGCACCAGGACCTAGAAGCTAGATATCCCAGAGACCTAGGATAGAAGCAATATGACTGGTGAAAAAAGTCAATGTAATGATGCCTAATGATATTCTGCTCTACTCATAGATTGGTGCCTAGCTCAGTTGTCGTCAGAGAGGCTTTATCCAGTAACTGGCAGAGACAAATGTAGAGACCTACAGCCAAACATTAGACAGAGCCCAGGGAATCCTGCAAGGGCCAAGGTAGAGAGGATTGTAGGAGCCAGAAGGGTTAAGGACACCACAAGAAATCCCACAAAATCAGATAACTTGGACTCATAGGAGCTCACAGCTCACAGAGACTGAATATACACCAGGGAGCCTGACCTAGGCCCTCTGCATATATGTGCCAGTTGTGTAGCTTGGTCTTTTTGTGCGACTCCTAACAGTGGGAGCAGGGGGTGGCTCTGACTCTTTTGCTGACTTTTGGAACCCTATTCCTCACACTGGTTGCCTTGTCCAGCCTTAAGGGGGGAGAGTGGTGCTTAGTCTTACTGCCACGTTTTGTTGAAATTGTGGGAGGCCTTCCCTTTTCTGAATAGAAACAGAGGAGGAGTTAGATGGGGGTAGGGAGTGGAAGAGGGGAAGTGGGGGAAGTAGGGGAAGGGACTGGGAGGAGAAGAGGAAGGGGAAACTGTGGTTCAGATGTAATAAATTAATTAACTAACTAATTAATTAAAAAAAGAATACGGCCTCTGGCTTGCCCTTTTCTGAAGGGAAATGGAAGAGGAGTGGATATGGAAAACAGAGGAGGTGGAAAGGAGGGATTGGGAGGAGAGGGGAGAAGGCAAAATGTGGTAGGGATGCAATACATGACAGAAGAATATTTTAAAAAGGAATATGACCTCTGGAACCATGAATTATGGCCCTGTGACTAGTGGCCATGCAATTTAAATAAATTATTCAACTTGACAATGTCTCTATTTCTACATCAGTGAAATGGTTATAATTAGTAATTCTATATTCACAATATACAGTAGTTGTGAGAGAAAATGAGCTACTGATATCAAACACTTAGAACTTAGATTTCCTTGAAATAGTCAATATATAACAGATGTTAGGGAATACATGTCTTCTGCTGGAATCAGTAAGCATTGCTTAATTTAAAAGAATGGCATGGGGAACTAATGGCCTTGCCTATCTAATATAGGAACAAAAACCTCAGTATGTGCTTGTGAAAATTGTCTTTTTTGCTATTCTCAGCAGCACAAGTGTTCTGTTAGCAGCCTGTGCTTCTACTGTAGAGGCTTGATATCATACCAAAGAGAACCCCTTGAACTCAAGCAGCAGCATGCCCATGTAAGGCATAGTAAACATCTTACAGGAACAATGATTTATAAGGCTAGGTATTTGTTTTGTTTTTTAATCTTTTTTATTTAAATTAGCAACAATCTTATTTTATATATCAACCCCAATTTCCTCTCTCTCCCCTCCACCTATGTCCCCCACCGAACCCCATCCCATCCCTCTTCTGCTCCACAGTAAGGGTGAGGCCTTCCAAGGAGGATCATCAAAGTCTGCCACATCATTTGGAGCAGGGGCTGGGCACTCCCCGGTGTTTAGGCTGAGAGAGCATTCCTCTATGGGAAATGGGCTCCCAATGTCCTTTCTTGCACTAGGGATAAATATTGTTCCACTACCAGAGGCCCCATAGACTGCCCAGCCCTCCTAACTGACACCCACATTCAGGGGGCCTTGTTCTGTCCTATGCTGGTTTCTGAGCTGTTAGTCTGGGGTCCATGAGCTCCCTCTTGTTCAGGTCAGCTGTTTCTCTGGGTTTCCCCCAACAGCTAGGTATTTGTAAATAAAATTTCCTAGAATTCCTTCCCTTTGCCTCATTAAGGGTTTCTTGTATGAAATATGTCTAAGAACTGTCAATTTGGACTATATTGACTATGGTCTATGAGTCATTTAGAGGATTCTTGAGAATAAATTCCATTGCCGTGATCTTTTTGTGACTGATCTTTCTGGAAATATTTTTCTGAGGCAGGTTAACTCGGCCCATGAGGACCAAGCAACCCTGAGTCTGCTGAGATTGCTGGGCTACTCCCACCCCCACTCAGGGCATAGAGGAGAGCATTAGCACCTGCCTTGGACCCAAATTCTGCCTGCCCACTCTGGAAACTCCTGCCCTGGGGTCTGCAGGCAGGTCAAATTGGCCCCTGAGAACCAAGCAACCTTGAGTCTACTGACGTCTCTGTGCTGGTCCCGCTCCCACCCACCTGGAAAGGGAGTGCCTCACACCCACCTACACCCACCTTGAGACCCATCAGAATATCACACCCTCTTGTACCCACCAGAAGAGAACCTTGGACATGTACTCACTAGGAGAGGAAGGCACACCACCTGCACCCACTGGAAGAAGAGATGGGAAAATGACAATATAAAAACACATCCAACAACAGAAAAACCAATATGACACCACCAGAGTCTAGGGAATCGACATCAGCAAGACCTAAACATCCCAACACAGATGAAGCAGAAGAGAACCACCCTAAAAACAACTTCATGCAGATGATAGAAACCCTAAGAGAGGAAATGAGAAAAATCCTTGAAAGAAATGGAAGGAAAGACAAACCAAAAATTGCAAGAACAGTATAGGGTTTGAAAGCCAAGATAGAGACAATAAAAACAACACAGTCTGTGGGGATGTTGGAATTAGAAAAGATGGGTAAATGATCAGGAACTACAGATTCAAGCATAACCAACAGACTACAAGAGATGGAAGAGAGAATCTCAGGTGTTGAAGATACACTAGGAGAAATAGATTCACTGACCAAAGAAAATCTTAAGTCCAACAAACCCCTAACACAAAATATCCAGGAAATATGGACACCATGAAAAGACCAAACCTAAGAATTATAGGTATAGAAGAAGATGAAGAAACCCAACTCAAAGGTACAGAAAACATATTCAACTAAATGATAGAAGAAAACTTTCCCAACCTAAAGAAAGACATGCCAATGAAAGTACAAGAAGCCTACAGAACACCAAATAGAGTGGACAAAAAAAGTCCCCTCGTCATATAATAATCAAACAGCAAACATACAGAAATGAGAAAGAATATTAAGAGCAGCAAAGGAAAAAGGCCAAGTAACATATAAAGGCTAACCTGTTAGAATTATACCTGACTTCTCCATGGAAACTCTGAAAGCCAGAAGGTTCTGGATAGATATGCTACCAAGACTAAGAGACCATATAAACAAACTGCAAAAGAAAAATAACATGATCATCTCACTAGATGCTGAAAAAGCCTTTGACAAAATCCAACACCCCTTCATGATAAAGATCCAGGAGAGATCAGGGATAACAGGAACATACTTGAACATAATAATAAAAAAAAACAATATACAGTAAACCAACAGCCAACATTAAACTAAATGGAGAGAAACTCAATGAGATTCCTCTAAAATCAGGAACAAGACAAGGCTGTCCACTCTCTCCATATGCCTTTAATATTGTACTTTAAGTTCTAGCTAGAGCAATAAGACAACAAAAGAAGATTAAGGGGATACAAATTGGAAAATAAGAAGTCAAACTTTCACTGTTTGCAGATGATGCAATAGTTTACATTAGTGACCTGAAAAACTCTATCAGGGAGCTCCTTCAGCTGATAAACACCTTTCGGCAAAGTAGAAGGATACAAGATTACCTAAAAAAAAAAATCAGTAGTCCTACTATATACAGATGATAAATGGTCTGAGAAAGAAATCAGAGAAATATCACCTTTTACAATAGCCACAAACAATATGAGATATCTTGGGGTAACATTAACCAAACAAGTGAAAGACCTGTATGGCAAGAACTTTTGAGTCTTTAAAAAAAGAATTAAAGAAGATACCAGAAAATGGAAATATCTCCCATGCTCTTGGACAGGTAGGATTAACATAGTAAAAACACGGCAATCTTGCCAATAGCAATCTACAGATGCAATGCAATCACCATCAAAATACAGGCACAATTCTTCACAGACCTTGAAAGAACAATTCTCAACTTTATAGGGAGAAACAAAAGACCCAGGATAGCCAAAACAACCCTGTACAATAAAGAACTTCCAGAGGCATCACCATCCCTAGCTTCAAGCTCTATTATAGAGCTATAGTCCTGAAAACAGTTTGGTATTCCAAGGTACAACAATGGAATCGAATTGAAAACTCTGATATGGACCCACACACCTATGAACACCTGATTTTTGACAAAGAAACTAAAATTATACAATACAATAAAGAAAGCCTGCTCAACAAATGGTGCTGGCATAACTGGACACTGTCATGTAGAAGACTGCAGATAGATTCCAATCTATCACCATGCACAAAACTTAAGTCCAAATGGATCAAAGACCTCAACATAAATCCAGCCACACTGAACCTATTAGAGGAGAAAGTAGGAAGTACCCTTGAATGAATTGGTACAGGAGACTGCTTCCTGAACCTAGCACCAGTAGCACAGACACTGAGATCAACAATTATTGAATGGGACCTCCTGAAACTGAAAAACTTCTGTAAGGCAAATGACAGTCAGCAAGACAAAATGGCAGCCCACAGAATGGGAAAAGATATTCACCAATCTGACATCTGACAGAGGGCTGATCTCCAAAATTTACAAAGAACCCAAGAAGCAAGTCTCTAAAACACCAAATAATCCAATTAAAAGTGGGGTAGAGAAATAAATACAGAATTCTCAATAGAGGAATCTAAAATAGCTGAAAGTTACATAAAAAAAGTTCTCAACATCCTTAGCCATCAGGGAAATGCAAATCAAAACAACTCTAAGACACCATCTTACTCCTGTTAGAATGGCTAAAATAAAAAACACCAATGACAGTTCATGCTGTCAGTTCATGAGTGGATGTGGAGAAAGGGGAACACTCCTTCCCCGCTCATGGGAATGCCAACTCATACAGCCACTTTGGAAATCAATATGCTGATGCCTCAGCAAAATGGGAATCAGTCTACCACAAGATCCAGCAATTCCATACTTAGGCATATACCCAAAAGAAGCACTTTCATACAAGGACATCTGTTCAATCATGTTCATAGCAGTATTATTTGTAATAGCCAGAACCTGGAAGCAATGTAGAAGACCCTCAACTGAAGAATGGATAGAGAAAATGTGGTACATTTACACAATGCAGTATTACTGAGGTGGGGGACAATGGAATCTTGAAATTCACAGGCAAATGGATGGAACTAGAAGAAACTATTCTGAGCAAGGTAACACAGTCACAAAAAGATAAGAGAGTATGTACTCATTCACATATGGATTCTAGATATAGAGCAAAGATTACCAGCCTACAATCCTAGGAAACAAGGAGGAATCTAAGAGAGTCATACATGGTCCCCCGGAGAGATGTAGAGAGACAAGATATCCTGAGCAAATTGGGAGCATGCTGAGAAGGGAGAGGGAGCTAGGAGAATGAGAAGGGGAGAAGAGCAGGGGTGAGGAGGACATGAAGGAGCAGGAAGGTTTAGTCAGGGGAAGAATAGAGGAGAACAAGATAAGAGATAACCTAATAGAGGGAGCCATTATAGGTTTAAAGAGAAATCAGGCACTAGGGAAAAGTCTGGAGATCTACAAGGATGACCCCAACTAACAATCTAAGCAAGGAGAGGATACCTTAAATGTTCTCCCCTGATAATGAGATTGATGACTAACTTATGTGCCATACTAGAGCCTTCATCCAGCAGCTGATGGAAATAGAAGCAGACACCCACAGTTAAATACTGAACTGAACTGGAATCCAGTTGCAGTAAAGGAGGAGTAATGAGCAAAGGGGTCAAGATCAGGCTGTTGAAACCCACAGAAACAGCTGACCTGAACAAGGGGAAGCTCATGGTCCCCAGACTAATAGCTGGGATGCCAGAATTTGACTGATCCAGACCCCATGAACGTGGGTGTCCATGAAGAGGCTTGGAAATCTATGGGTCTTCTTGTAGTAGATCTGTGCTTATCCCTATCATAGGAATGAACTTTGGGAGCCCATTCCACACAGAATAGTATTCCCTGAGCCTAGACACATGGCAGAAGGCCTAGGCCCTATCCCAAAGGATGTGCCAGACTCCTAAGACCCCCTATGGAAGGTCTTACCCTCCCTGGGGAGCAGAAAGGGTATAGGGTAGGTAGGGTGTTAGAGGGGCAGGGGAGGAGGGGAGGAAGAGGGAACTGGGATTGACATGTAAAACAATCTTGTTTCTAACTTAAATTTTTAAGATGGAAAAAAGAAATTCTTTTCTGCCCAACATGATTCTTGTGCATTTACACCAGTTACTCTTAAGACACAAAGACAAGAAGTATTAACATATGGATTTGTTTTAGACACTCATTCAGCAAAACAAAATGTCCACACCAGGAAAGTTCTACCAGTCCTACTTTCTAGAGGCATAACTTTCTCCCAAATTCTGGTTTCAATGCTGATGGCTCCTCTTGGTTGTCAAGTTGACTATATTTGGAATTAATCAAAACCCAAATGGCTGGCACACTCTGTGATTGGCTTTTTCTTAATTAAGTCATCTGAAGTGGGAAGACTCACTTCAATCCAGATCTTTCATTACTTCAATCCTGATCTTTCAAGGTGGAAGGATCCACCTTTAGTCTGCACCCTATATAAAGGACATGGAAGAATGGAAGAAGGAAGCTGACTCTCTTTTTTCTTGCTTGCCATTGCTAACAAGTCCATTCCTTCCCTGGCATTAAAGATTCCTTCCCATATGGAAGACCATCTGCGACATCTGAATTTGATATAGTACTTGAAGTTTTAGTTAGAGCAATAAGATAGCTGAAGGAAATCAAGGGGATACAAATTGGAAAGGAAGAAGTAAAAATATTGGTATTTGCATATATATATATATATATATATATATATATATATATTGATAGATAGATAGATGGTAGATGTTAGATGGCTAGAAATAGATTTATTCTGTAAGTTCTGTTCCTTTAGAAACACCAACTAATACAGATAAAAACAGACAGATACACCACATAGATGATGTAGCTGTATAAGAACCTAGATCCCACACAGTTCTTTCAGTACTTACCAAGTACCACTGCTGATTCCACATTGGGTCATTGAAGAGATTCAATGCTGAGTCTCTTTGAACTGAACGTTTGCTTCTCTCTTTTTGATATTGTTGTTCAGCCCATATCACCTACAAAGGTTTTTATGGTAAGAAATCAAAATAAAGCTTCCACCTGGGTATAATCATCTTCCCTCCATCTCCAAGAGCCTTCCCACCAAAACTTTACATAGCTTGGTGATGTTTTTGCCTGACCATGGCCCAAACTCCCAGCCCAGGGAGAATAAGAGATTGCCCACTGAGGAGACAAGGGTTCCTTCTATTACAGTAAGGAGTCCTCTTCTGGGTAGAAGCAATAAGCAAAGCAGCAAGTCCTTCATATTATTTACACTGTGTTGACAGGGGGAATAGAAGTGCAGGCTGCTGTCATCAGAAACCAGGCCACAGTACAGATTTCCACACTGAAGTTCCGGGGCTCTGAGGCTGAAAACTTGCCAGTTTCACAGAATGAGTCAACAAGTCAAGGGTCCTCCGGGACTGTTTTAGAACTTTCTTACTGCCTCATTTGTCCCTTTACATCCAAAGGTAAAAATTCTAGGTGTTATGTAAGAATGGTACTGTGTGTAGAAATGTGGAACTTTGGTTCCTCTTTGTTTCTACCTCCTACCTAGGAGTATTTAATATGAGAAACAGATTAAAGAACTGAGGTGATTGATGAGTGTTACTGACCAAGCACACCTGTCATTAATTCAGCTGCATGCATTATGCAAACAGATCTGACAGTATAAAAATTACCTGGCCCACATCTCTGGCATAATCTTATTATACTTGGGCCCTGAGAGAATGCAGGGCTGTCTTGTAGTTATTATCATTATGAGATAATACTATATTCTTATTTTGCTGGGAAACGTGACTATTTCATGCTCCAAACACAGATTTTTCTGTTGTGTATGTGGGATATGTTTAAAATGAGAGGATCAAATCCAAAAATAAAAAATGAAAAATAATTTCCAGCAGAAGGCCAAAGACATCCACTAGTAATGCCTTAAATTTTCAAGTAGAAAGTATATTGCAAGTCTTTTATAAACAGTAGAGGTACTAGAGAGCCAGCAATTAGTCACTATAATTTATTTTAAAGTGCTTGTATTTTCAAACACTATCATTGTGGCTTAAAATAACACACTTCTTAGTATACATTGCTTGTCATCTAGCTTGGTCTTTGGAAGCTAGCTGCTAGGAAATACATAGAAATCTTTGTGTGAGGGGAAACTTAAAGTTGGGAATTTCACCAGTGTGTAAAAATAGGCAACATGATACATTTCATGGGGTTTAATTGAAAGAATTAAATTAAAAAATTAAAAAAGAGCAGTAAAGTGAAAATCAAGAGCAATTTTTAAGAATAGTATATGAGAGTTTGGGGCATAAGAAAAGATCTCACTAGACAAGAAAACTTTTTAAATAAGCTTGCTGACTTCCAGTTTGGTCTACCACACCTAGCCATATGTTGACACGAAGACCTAGCAACGTGGTCCTTGGTCCTGATTAAGCAGCATCAGTGTGGGATGCTCTAATGCTTTTGATACCTGCAGCCTAAGGCCCAACAATTATTTCTCCTCATAATCTGTTTTCTTATTTAAAACAAACAATTACTGAACCACATGTAATTTCCAGGATTTCTATATTCTATATATTTTCAACTGTTATGTCACTATCACCGTCTGTCACTTAACTTCTCCTCCCTCCCAAAGTTGAGATAATACTCTGTATTTCTCACAGTAACTCTCTGGGTGTCCTAAGAAAGAGTAGTCATGCGCACAGACATTAGGCCAACCAGCATGCATTTCTCCAGGAACACCAGAGTTAGAAGGGAGGCAACATTGTGCATACATATTTCAACACTCCTAATATATCCATTCAGTCTTTTCTATTAGCATAATTCTGACCTTAAAAATATACCCCCAAACCAATAGGTATAATTGAATATGGATTCAAATGGTCCTCACACTATTTATCTATATTGATTCCAGACATTCTTGTTATTGGCAAATAATTGTGACTTGGTGTCCAAAAAGGGATGAAAAGAACTGGGACTGACAGTTTGTCTCAAAGAACATAATGTACTTAGAAATCCCTCATTAACAAATGGATTAGAAGCTTTCTCATAAATACTAATATATTTTAACAATGCAAGTGATAAAATGTTTTTCCGTTATACTGAAGTGTTACTGAAACCAGGCCTACATATTTCTGTGGCACCATTGGGTTCATATTAAAATGATCTTTAGATTTTACTTTAAGGATTTCAAGAAGGAGCATTTCATATTTGCCACGTACCATATAAAAGGTTGTTGATTGACTACAGTGTCGATTATTTCATTAATTCTTTCCCCTGATTTTCAGCACTCAAAACCCAACTCTAGATATGTAAATGTATATCACATATAACTAAGAATATGTATAAAATTAATGTTTGTTAGCTTAATCCAATCCAAATATATTATGAGCAATTGTGATTCTACAGAACGAAATAATAAGCAATATAGAGAAGCATAGAGAAGCAACCACAGTTACAACACAAAAGGATCAAATGTGAAATGCTTTTCTCCTGTTGGGAGTTACACAGAATGTAGTTGGTCAGACTGAGTTTGAGGACAAATGCACACTTACACGATCATCATCAGATAACCTCTTAGTGATATGAAGAGCACTTCTTCGAGACCTTCGAGGATGATTTTTGTGTTTGAATAGGTAGTGATTTTCAAGGGATCCAATCTATTAAAAAATCAAAATAACATTCCACTTTCTTCAGAACATATGGACAGACTAGTTTAAAAAAGCAACTAACACAGTTAGATGGATTTTATTAATAAAAATATCTTTTATTAAACCCACTGAAATTAACTTTTTCTTCATGAGGAAAGCATGGAAGTCTTGAGATGACCTTCAGGACTCAAGAATAGGGATGTTTCTGTTTCCCATAGCAATTTTTGATGAGTGCCTTGGTATATTTTTGATGAAAAAAATGTGTATGTAGATATTTCTCAAAATATGCCCATTTAAACAAATACACTCTGTCAGAAAACAATTATTTGTGGAACACAAAAAAAAATCCTTAGGATTTATTAGTGGTTACTGCCACATCCAGCTAAAACAAGATATTGTAGGTAAAATTTTTGGTGATTTAGTTTTTCATTAGCTCAGTGCTGTCAGGAAGTGTGCTGTATCTAAGACGGGTGCCCCACTTCACGATGTTTGTACTTCCTTGGTAGCTATCAATGCCTTCTGGATCATTTAGACTATGTTTAATAGTCTTTGAGCTAATGTCCTTTTACATAAACCAGCACAAAATGTGAGCTGACTAAATCCTTTAGATGCCTGTTTTGTTTTTTTAATTAAGAGATGAACAATTGTGTTGTTGCAAAAGAAATATTTTCTTTATGCTGTTGGTTCTTGTCACCCAGGGAATTGCTTTTAGTGGAAATGCTGAGGCTTAGCTGGGAAACAGAGCCTTAGACAGCAAATCTACTATGAGCTGTACTGCTAGCTGTAGATGGATCTGGGAAGAGATAGCAAAAGCCATAAGAAAAGGCCAGGGTTGCTAGCCCTATTTCTATGGTCAACTAGCTTTGCTCCTTGTCTCTACTCTAGCCCTAGCTTTATCATGAGGCTGTAATGTCAGGATACTTCTCTTAGGATTATATGCTAAACAAAATGGGATGTGAGCAGAATCAGGAAAGCAAGTTACTATTTTCTGAAATTTTGTTATTGAATATAGCATTTTAATTCCAAATGACTAGAAGGAAGCTAGTTTATTTTGAAAAATTATTTTCATACCGAGTGGTCTATGTTTGTATGTGTGTCTGGGGCTAATGTGTGAAGGAGGTGAAAGAGTTTTATGTGTTTCTTTTCTTTCCCAGTCACAAACACCAAACTGCCTATGAAATACTGCCTCTGCCACCCCAGGACAAACACATTTCCAAGGTGCTTATAGTACCCACCCGGATAATTCCATCTGCTACTCTCTATTTTGGTCCCCAAATGCTCAAGAATTGCACAATAAACAAACTTAATTATGAAGCTGTTTTGTGTCTGCTTTTCTGCAAGCTATTTTGTATGCTGAAGTGCTTCTCTGGTCTTACCGTGTTCTCCTGGCAACCTGACACTTCTTTCCAAGCCCTGAAAAGTAGATATTTTCGGTAGCCTTCTTTCCTGCCACCCATATTCCCTTTTACCTTTCTCCCTTCTCTCCGAAAAACAAAAATGCTGTATTAAACCACTAACTACAACTTCTCTTACACAAATCGAATTTAGGTGCCAATCTTCATTTTGAATCCACTGTCCCATAGATCTTAATTCCTCCTTTTTAGTCCCCAGTCCCTAAGGGACGGTTCAAAAAGGCACTGGGAATTTATTGAGTTTCATGATGGGCCTTTCAAAGACCATTTGCCTCACACAGTTAGAGAATGAAGCCTCTGGCTAGAGAAGGCGTATTTCCTAGTGGATTTGATGCTCGGAATCGACGCCGCCCACGCCGATTACTCATCTGTGACTTCAGAGTCTCAATCACCACCTCCAGAATAGAAAACGCGCCAAAATGTTTTACAACTCCCTCCTCCCCCGCTTGACTGTGGACAGTTTCCCCAGCAAGGGTCGAGGGTTTGACTCTACTTCAAGGAAAAGAAATCTGAGATTAGAAATCACACCCTCTGGATTCCCCTTTAGGATCGCTATTAATGCTTCTGCGCGCCCCTCCCCACCTATCTGTTAATTCAGCACACACTTAGACAGACATCAGTTTATCTCGTAATCTGACACCCCTAGGAGATGATTTTGCACTTGGCCGAGGAACAAGACAGAAAGAGATCCTTTCCCCACATTCATTTCTGCAGCTAGACCCTGCTGAGACATTGGCCATGCGAAGTTAGGAAGCTCGGACTTCACAAGTTATGGGTGAAAATCCTGAACTCCCCCATATGCTACACTCGGGAGTCTTCCTTTACCTCGGCCCCCTTCAGCTCCCCCCACCACTCTGTAGCACCACCACCAACCCAAACCCTGGAGTCACTAGTCCCAGCAGTTGGCTCTCTCTGGGAGCTCTTGGCTAGCCCCTACACGCGCGGGCATCCCTAAGCTTGCCCGGCCCCTTGCTTCAGGACTGGGAACTGGTGCTGCCATATTGAAAGGAAGGAAAGCGCTGGCTCTGGACGCAGTCTGCCTGCTTGCCAGGGAGACGGAGAGCTCTGGCTCTCCCACAGTAGGCGAGAGCCTGTGTACACCTCAAGTTCCTGGTGGAGGAATCCCCCTCCCCCTCCCCCTAGAGCGGACAACAGAGAGATCAGGGTCTGCTGCAGCAGCTTCCTTTTGCTTGGCGGCGCCCAGCCCAAACAATAAATAAGGGAAGCATTTTCCTTCTGAAAGCGCACAGGGGGCGCAGGGGCAAAGGGGATGCTCCTCGCTTGTTGTGACACTGAGAGCAGGAGAGTGTAATCTCTGGCTCCCAGCTCTGAGACTGTACGCCAGCCCCACCAGTCAAGCTCCAGAAAGTTTCTCGAAAGTGGAAACTCTTACCTGACCCAAGAGGTCATAGCCCAGCTCCTCGGCGATGGCAGAGGCAGCCTCCGGCCCTCCGGGGATCTCCGCCGCCCATTCATTGACAAACTGCCTCTTGGCTTTTACACAGTTCAGTGCACACCAAGCGCAAAACAGGGCGAAAGCCGTACACTGCAGAGACCAGCCTCTTTGCTCCATGGCTCCCACCCTTGCTCTCACACAATCAAGAAGGGCTGAGAGAAAAGAAGCGAGACAAGAGAAACACCAGCTAGACTCGACCTTTCCACCCTGCCTCTCTGAACCACTCGTGGCTCGGGGTTGCTCCGCGAGAGCTAGGAGGCGCGCTGGGAGAGGCTGGGCGGTGGCGAGCGCTCACTGAAGCGCTTCAGTCTCCTGGCAGAGTGGAGCCCCAGCCTCCCCAGCCAGAATAGAAATGAGTGTTTACACGTCAAATCTACGAAAGCCATCTCTTGACGTCACATCTACCTGGACTGAGAAGTGGATGGTATTCCCTGCGGGGTGGAGAAACGACTAAAATAAGCAGGGAAGGATTAAGGAAAGGAAAGGACGGCTTAGTGGTATCAGTCCATTCTGCTGTCTGCCCATAAATACTGGAGCTATCAGAAACATCTCCATTCTTCAAAGAGAAGCGCCCCATTTGAATACAGTTACCAAGATCCCAAGGCAGGAAGTGTATCCCTCTCCCTTCCCTGTGTTACTTTATTGTCTCCTATGAATGTGCCTGGGGGTGGGGAGTGAAGATAGGATTCTAATGTCCCTTGGATATGAGCATTTGCTATAAAACAGACAAAAACCAGGACTCGTTCCTAGATCTTTCAAATCTGACAGAAGCTAGGAGCAGAGGAAGGAAGCTACCTGCTACCTTCCTTCTACCCCAAATCACCTAAGAAAATGAATGCTTCCCCAAGAGGGTATTGAAACAACGGTTTCAAAGTATGTTTTAAATTACTCATATCTCCTTCTCTCTTGTTTCTGAGCCCTGCTAAAGCGATATCTAAAAGTCTAACCCAGAGAGAGAGAGGGGGGAGGAGGGGGAGAAGAAGAAAGGGGGAGAGGGGGAGAGAAGGGAGAGGGGGAGAGGGAGAGAGGGGGAGAGAGATTAATAGAAAAAAAGTTTTGAATTTTCAATAAGGAGGTTCGGTGTCCCAAGGGCTTTTGTATTGACTCAGGAAAGGGGGGAATAATTTTTATTACCCCAGAACTTTTCTATTTTTCCCTCACTGGAGATTTCAATTTGGGTGCTTACCTGAAACTGTGCCACTATTTTCACATTGAATACACCATGTATCTTTGTGAAAGACAGCTTTTCCTTAGAGAGAGAATAAGAGAACGTCCCCACGCCTGTGAGACAGCATTTAGACTTCCTTGACAGAATCCATCTGGATTCTTTCCAAAGGATTGAACTGGCCAGAGCAAGCCCAGCCTTTGGTATTCAGCACCGAGGTCTGGACAGCGACAGCGACTGTGCTTGTGTAGAAGAGCTCCTCCTCCTGAGCAGCCAGGGTCTCTGCTTTGCTGCCCCTGACCAACTCTCAGCCGCTTCTTCTTTGACCTGGGTCTTTCCCACTTTTGAACAACAAAACGGGAAGCTGGCCTAAATGGGAGTGTGATGAGGTTCATGACGGTTACTTTGCGCATCTTGGTTGCCGGAATGGTTTGGACTCTGTCCAAAATTAAAAGTGTAAGGAAAAGAAAGTGAGAGTGTATTTCTTCTGAAAAAGATTCTTCAACCTCCTTAGGGGTGTGTGTGTGTGTGTGTGTGTGTGTGTGTGTGTGTGTGTGTGTGTGTGTGTGTGTGTGTGTAGAAAAAAAGGAGGATACTGGGGAAAGACTTCCGAACAAGCAGAGAAATGAAGCCAAGAATTGTTTTCCACTCTAAGCAAGCAAGGCGAGACTTGAGGATGGGACTCAGTGTTGCTAAGGTGCTTCTGTGTGGGACTTGTATATGTGCACTTCATGTTTGTGCATATCGTTGTGTGTGCTCAGAGCCTGGAACACAATGCTGGGTGTCCTACTCTATCACTTTTTGCATTATTTCCCTTGAGACAAGGTCTCTCACTGAACCTGGAGCTAGGCTGGCAGTCACCAAGCCCCAGTGATCCTTCTTCTGCCCTTCATAGTGCTGAGGTTAATCTGGGCTTTTTTTTTTTACCTTCTTAAACATGGTTTCTGGGATCTAAACTCAGATTCTTATTTGTGTGGCACATCAGCTGTCTCTCCAGCCCTTAAATTGTTTTTTAATAAAATTTTTATCTTACCAGTTTTTATAAAGAAGGAATGATTCAGACATTGAACAGAACTGTTTCTATTATGGCATGCCCATTGTGACAGCTCTCAATGCCCAGTCTTTCAGTTAATAATTTATTAGATGTTTGAGAAAGTAACAAGAGCAAGGTCAGTATGAAAGAAAGAATAGGCTCCTACAGATCACTGCATCTAGAAACTTATGCTACTGTAAAATTAGATATGTACCCTGGCACAATATGAAATTTTCATTAAAATTCATTGCAAACTGAACAAAAATGAACACTTCCAGACCAATATAATATTATTCAAAATATTAAGTTTTCAGAAAGCATTAAGAATGTAGAGGGACGGGGATTGCTTCAATCCAGCCAGGGTAGCAAAACAAGGCATTATTTACAAATAAAAAAGGATGGTAATGAAATACCTTAGTTTAATATTTCCCAGTCATTATTTAGACTTAAAAGTGTGCCATGGGTAATAACAACTACCTGTTGAGTCCATAACTAAAGCAGAAGATATCTTGAAATAGAATATATACTAGAGGCAATGTTTAGTGGATTTCTCAACCTAGAAAATAATATTTATGTGGCACATTGAGACAAACTGGAAAAACTTTGGGTATTTGGTATATAGGACTCACAGAAGATAATTTCTTTACATAATATAGTTATGATAAGAACATAAAATGCACTATTTTAACAATATTAAATTTGAATATAGATAACTTTCAATCATTTATATATATATGATCCCATCAAGACAACTTACCTTGGGTTTTATGTTTGGAAGCTGATAAGATATTTCTCATCAAAACACCTTAACATTTTGATTTAATTGGTTTTCATATCAAAGGAAATACTTTAAATAATTTAGACACTATACAGAACTGTGTTTCTATTATGGCATGCTTTAATAACAAATAAATTTTTCAAATTTTTGATGCTGCCACCAATGATGTATTGTTACACAGTAGAGAATGAAATGACTCCAGAACTCTAAAACCAGCCAAGAATTATATCCATCAGTTATTTGATTTGAAATAATGTTTCCCTGTCAAATTAATTATCATAATTCCATGTGAGGATATTTATAGATTTAGAATCTACCTGTATATAATATATATACACACACTTATACACACACACACACACACACACACACACACACACATATATATATATATATATATATATATTAGTATTGAAATAATATTGAAAATGTAAATTGGAAAATAGGCACCCTTAGAGAGATTACCATATCCAGCTTTATCACAAATGAGTGTATTTAGTATATGAGAAGACTGATATTGGACACGCCAAGTGACGTGGTACCTGCCAGGATGCCTGGCTTACTTTCTCAGTAGATATCTTCCCATACTGGATTTTGTCGGTCATGTTGTACT